ACTTATTCCAGCGTCCAAGTGCTGCATTTCTGCCCAGGTTTTAGCCTGAACTTCTTCAAGAAAAAAAGAATTAAAGAATCATTCTTGCAAGGGAGAGCAGTGGATGGTACTGGGAGATATCAGTTTTGCAAGAAGAAGAAACTCCGAAATAACAGCTGTCGTTTACTGCACCTACCCTGAAATGTAACCCTGAGCACGTTGTCCTACTTTTCTGACCCCCCTGGTAGTGGAGGGGTGGTGCTGGGCATGAGTCCAGCCTCTCCCTGTTGGTCCACCCGCAGTCGCCTGGCAAATCCCGAGCCAAAGGCATGTGGGTTTTGCCGCATCTCTCCTCCGACTGCTCGTGTTGCCAGAGCGCTCCCGGAACCCACGTTTGGCTCAGCCTTCGGTGGGGCAGACGTTTGCTGCCTCTTTGGTAACGTCCGTGGTGTTTTGGGTCCTGGCTACAATGGGTGCCACTGCTGGCACTATAGGAAAGCCAGAGATGGTCAAAAAATCCACTTGGGCTTTGTCGGATCATTCTTGTGTGATGGGGAAGTGAAAGTCATCAGAAAAAAAAGATGAGTTTTGTTGTGTCCAAAACCCAGAGGGTGATGTAAGAAGAATGCTTGGCTGATGCCTATGGAGCCTGTTCAAGTTTCTAAAAGCATCTTCTGGCAGAAATTTTGAAAACAGGATGTATTTGGCACTAGGAGGGTGTCAGGCACCCTTGTTTAGTTGAGCTAGCTAACAAACCACAGTTCTTCCTTCAGAGTTATTTTTTGGCTATGCTTTTACAATATATATTGCTAAAGGATGTTCCTTTGAAATAATTACTGTAAGTTCTATGCATTTTAAAATATTTTTGTATAACTTTAAAAGGTACTAACAGTTTTACATGGCTGAAAATTTTTAAATTGTGTAAATTGTACTATGTGCCATGCTATTTAAAAAAATAATAATATAGTGTTTTATGAAAAACAAGGTACTGATCCTTTAAGTATACCTGAGCAGATTACATCTTGTGGAGTTCTCTAATGTTTTACTGTTTAGCAATAATAATTAACAATAAGTTCCTTGTTTAAAAGAGGTATTAGTCGAATAGTGAAAATAGTTTGAGGAGTTAAAAAAATGAGGCATTCAGGCTTGACAATGTGTGTACCAAGTCTCAGACTTGTTCAATTTGAAATGGTCAAGATATGAAACCATAAAAAATGTGAGTAAATACTCTGCATATCAAGGGTTGTTACGCAATTACACGGTTTCAGTATGGGTCTTACTGGGGGAAAACAGAGCGAACTGCAGTGCGTGTTCAATGAATAATTACAAACTTTCAGAGCTTAATTACAAAATCATAACCCATTTCTTGCCTTGCTACTAATACAATACTAAAATGTGTTCAGGCTCCCTCCTCCGGGCAAAGCCATGGAGGCTAGAGATCGGTCAGAAAGTATCTGAAAAACATGAAATGCTCCTCCCCGCCCCCCCATCCAATGTTGGCCTATCTCCAAATTGTAAGCAGCTGAAATGATTAAAACAAAGTTTTCTTTTTAAAAAAAAGAAAAAAGAAAGAGAGAGAGTTACAACTAGATTTACAAAAACATGTGCCAAATTTCAGCCCGATGTGCTTTGAGACCGGGATATTAAGTGCCCAGCCATAGGAATCGGACTGGAAATAGAGCCAGGCTCTTTGTGACATCAGTCCCTTCAGGATTTGAGATTGTAATATAGCAGTTATAAGGTTCCAGATGATTAAAGTTTGCCTTATTAGATACATCTCTCGGTTATTTAGCTAGACCCTTTGGGCGTCTTCCTCCAAGGATACACAGGCCTAGGCTCACACTGAGCCGAGTGCCGGAGCGTGTGGCGAGGGTGTCGTGAGGCCATGGGCTGTGGTCGCTCTTCAGGATCAGAAGGATATAGGAGAAGAAAACTCCAGACAATATAGACTTTTTTTTTTTTTTTTGTCCTCCCTGTGGGGTCAATCAAAATTTCCCAGGTATATTTTGACAAGTGGCTCAGTTCTGTGGTTAGTGAGATCTGAGAGTCAAATATTTAGTCTGATGCCAAGGCCTGTTTCATCCCGGAGAATCCATTCTAAATCTGTTTGTCCCGACTTAAAGAAAAAAAAAAACTATTAAAAAAAAGCAATTTAAAACTGTTTAAGCTAGCAAAGTAACATCATTTAAGTGCTTGCAAATGTGACAATTCTCATTTTATTAATATATGCAATCTCTGTTGGAACTCTTAGATGAAGGGACACCTTGTTACTATTGGGTAAGTTAGCTCAGAAGAGCTCAGAAAGATTAAAAAAAAGATAAGATTTGCAGTGTTCAGAACTGTATGTAAGACAAATGTAGAAATTTTTTATTCATTTTAGGGAATTTAGCTGAATTTTCTGTACTGCATTGGAATTTTTAGCAGATAAATAGTTTGTACTTACAAGGCAAATTAGCACAGATAAAGTATTTTGATGCATATGGTTACTTTATCTAGGCATTTTGTAGCTCGTTCCTGGCTAAAATCATTATATTATGTCATTGAAAGAATATTATTCCAAAGAAAGAAAGAATAAACAGGGTTTTTTTTCAATGTAAATAAATTCTTTTCAGCTCCATTTCCCATGTGTTAATGATATACTAGCCCCGTGTTGTCTGGCAATGATTTCAAGGTTACTACACCTTCTGTCCCCCATCCAGGTGTGCAGACACGCAGCATGTAAACTGGATTCCTCTCTGTCTATTTTAAAAGTCCTCTGTGACTGTGTAGAGGTATTTTCCCAAGCTTAAAAAGTGCAAACAGAAGTGAAAGGGTGGAAAGACTTACTCAGATTAAGACTCCATTTGCTTAATTCACCACACCAAGAAATGCTAGGCTGACAGACAAAAAGTAGGAATGGAAAGGAACAGTTCGGCAGTTGTAGCTCTATCCTGGCCGTATAAAGTCATTTCCAGTCGGAAACTTCTCACCCACCAAGTGGACCAAACTGGGGTAGGTTTAGTGAAGCTTTTATTGTATTATGAAGGAAACTATTTTAGCCGCCAGGTGAAATTTTGCAAGGATATGCAACCGCAAAAAGAATTAGGAACCTCGGTGTACTTATAGGTAAAGTGCCCAGCTGGGGTAAGCCACCCCTTAGATGTTTGCTGAAGGACGTGAACTACAACTTAGTTCTTCCCCTACCCAAATTCGGAAGAATGTAGCATATTACTGCTTCTGATTTAGGAGACAAAGTAGGGGATGATGTAAGGGGGTGAGAGAGAGAGATTATCTTGATGACAATCTGGATTTTATTGTATCACCTTAAAGTAGCACAACCTGCTGTACTAATGAAATTGTGTTCTTGGTTTAAAAGGGCAATTGTTAGCCTGACTTTGTGCTCACTAAAAACATTTCCCCAATCTTGTTAAATTATTGCACTCATTTCAGATTTTTATGGCTGTGCAGCTTACCAGCCCTCGTTTCTGTACGTTTCATTCATTTTCCTTGTATTGATGATTAATGGAGGATGTCGAACGTTAGAGTGAGCAGGCATCAGCAAATGCAAGATCATAATTAGTTTAGCTGACGAGGGCCTCTGATAGCACTTGCATCTGGATGGAAAAATTACCCTATAGGGAACTGGCTGCTCACCAGGTCTTTTTAGTGATACATTGTGAAACACCCGATGAATCAAATGCCCTTTCAATGCCAAGAAAGTGTTCCAGTCTTGAAGCCAAAATTATGTCTGCAGAAAGCTTTCCATTTGAAATGTATCAGAGTACAATTATAACCATTGTATTTTTTTGGCATGAGCACCACTCTTCTACAGTATGGACTAAAGTTAAATAAATTACTTAAATTTTATGAAACTCTGAAATTTTGACTTATAGTGTTAGTAATTTTTAATTTATAATAAAATTAGTTTTCACCCAGGCTGTTTTTCCTTTACTCACCCATTCTTATCTTAGAGGCTGAAGATTTGTGGGTTTTTTCCCTTTGCAGAGAGACAGTACAGTTGAAATTGAGATTTTCTTTTCAGCAAAAGAATTCCATTTCCTGCTTATTAGTATTTCTGCCCACAAACACAGCCTGACTTTTGTTTAAATGAGAAGTTTAATGAAATCATTACTCTGTAGAAAGAATTTAACGAGCACTACTCATAAACGTGTCTACTTTTAAATATTCTTGGATCATTATTAAAGCTGATGAATGCACAGCTCAGTCTGGTTAAAAATCAATTTGTATTTAGGGGAGCTTTACTGTGTCTTTCTTTGCCTGGCAGAAATAAAATAAATAAATGAATCCATTGATGAGACCATGTTTTCTGGGGTTTCGGATGAAGTTCAAAAGAGGACTCATTAAGAATACTGTACTTTTATTTGTTTGGCAGAGGTTACTCCTCGTTCTTAGGGGCTGTGGGAAATATATGGTAGTTTATGCTGATCGCAGAAGTAAGTGGGAAAAGCTGGGACTGAATATCATGCATGCAATTAATGAAGTATAATCTCTGTTAAAGGAATTAGTGTGACGCAGATACAAACTGCAATTAATTAAAGTGGGGGTGCTGGAGAATTCCCGTTAGCGATCGCACTTACAAACCAAGCAGACCAACGAGAAATAATCTGCCGGCGCACGGAGGGACCACGACGGGATAACTTTACCGAATGTGCCCTGCCGGCTCGCAGCGTGTTTGTCAGGATCCACTGTTTAGAAACCATCGTGAAATGCACAAAACCTGAAGTTCAAAAAGTTAAAGCTGTTATGCTGAGCGGGCTTTGGTGTTTCGCACACCTCATCCATCACTCCGGGGTTAATTATAATGAAAATCAGCGGTGCCTATTAAGCACAATTGAACCTGACCTCATTATGGGCAGTGTGGTTTTAGACTGTCATTGTTGCCAATGCGGAGACAAAACTCCTGTGTTGATTTGTCCTAACTCTGCGGATCATGTGACTCACCTCTGACCTGTTTTTTTCTTTTTTTCCCCTGTTTTTCTTTTTTTCTTTTTTTTTTTTTTTCTTCTTCTTCCCTATTTCAGAGACGTAGAGGCTCGGGTGTTTTCTGTGCCAATTGCCTGACCACAAAGACCTCTCTCTGGCGAAAGAATGCAAATGGTGGATATGTATGCAATGCGTGTGGCCTCTACCAGAAGCTTCACTCGGTAGGAAGAACTTACTAGTTTGCTCAGAAAAAAAAAAAAAAAGAGAGAAAATTAAAAAAAAAAAAAAGAAAAGGGGGTTATGCTGCAGAGCTGGGCAGCTGTGGTCTCGTCTGGTTGTGTGATTACTACCACTCCCTGGCCTGCAGTTAATTTCCTAACCGAGTTTTTCTGTATGGTCACTTTGGGATCAGATGTGATTCATTACAAAACGAGCTGGGATGCTGTGGGTAGACGTATTTGAGATCACCAGTGATGCATTTAATTATTTTGATACAAAATAAGGGGAAAATGATTTCTTTTCTGGGAATTCCATTTAAAGGCATACAATACGCTGTGATGAAAGCGCTCTATATTCAAGAGCTCTTGTGTTCATAATCAAATATAAAGAAAAATTCTTAAAGCTGGACATCACAGCTGTATCAAAAATACCCCTGTGCTGTTTTTCTTTTGTTTTCCCTCCTCTCACCATCTCTTCTCTTTTCAATAAATTTCTTAGAGATACGGCCTTTTTTGTTCTACTGTCCTTGTAGTCTGCAGGACTCTGAAATAACTTCCAAGGAAGCTACTCAGCTGACAACACCATGACTGTGAGAGAAATTTTCAGCATCCCTCTGGATCAAGCATACATAATAATCATGGATTATCTGTATTGCTTTTGTTCTTATCAAATCTTGGCTTGATCCTGAAAGATGTTGAATGATCTGGTTTGGGTCCAGGAAAGCCATGCTTAAGTGTTTTCTTGGATCACGGCCAAAATGCTCAGAATCTTTTATGATAAGCACCCAAAGTCAAATTTGATCTCTGCTACCTTTAACAGAAGCACATAAAAGTGTCATGTGAGCAGGATTTGACTGTTTAATTAATTCATTATTACAACATCTCTTTGAACTAGAAATGTTTTGGTGTTTGTTTTGCGCAAAAAGAAGCTGGGGCAGATTTTTTTTTCTTTTTTTTTTCTAAGAATTTAGCCTTAGAACCAAAATCAGAAATCTAAGTTATAGCTCAGTGCATATATTTTTCAAAAAATCTTATTTCATAAAAAATCACAAACATTTAAGAAGCTGTTTATCAAATGCAAAGTAATATCCAAGAGCCTATTCCCATATCTCTTTAAATAGGAGTTGTAAGCTCTTAGTTTTTGAGAATTTTGCTATTGGTCTTGTGGACGAGCCATGTAACAGTACTGTTTATGCAAGTCCCTGTCCAAGCAGTAAAACCATCACCGATATGAAGTGTCAGCTCTGCTTTCATTTTAAGATGAGTAACTGTTTTTTAGCTGCAGAACAACCCAACCAGTCAGGTAATGTCCGAGTGGGAGATGGATGAAATTATGCGAGTCTCAGCCTGACTCTTGGCAAAAGTATCATTTTCTTGGAAAGCTCTCCAACTTTTAGATATAATAACTGGTTTATCTGGAGAATTGATTATTCCTTTTTAATATGTTTTCTAAACCATTTAGTGACACTTTACATGATTAATAGTATAACTTACCTCATAGATTAAAATTACCAGAATCAGTTTTTGAATTCAAAACATAATCCCGATAATCCTCATGAATTGTTAGAAACAAGCTAGTATTGTTTTAGCGATGATAATTAACAGTACATTGTCAAATTCCTATTTATACATATGGAAAGCAAGAAGATGACACTTTTAGCCCCACTGTTCAAGAATGGCAGTAAGCTGTCACTCAGTGGACATTGTATTTTTAAATGAACTTTGACCAAGGCTTATGAGTTTAATTAATCATCCACTCTGCTGTGACTTGATAGAAATTCCACTGCAAATTGGAGTCTGAAATAGTCAAAAAGAAATCTCTCACTTGGGACACAGTCCAATGCAAAGTGATGCTCTTTTGGATAACTCCAGAAAGATCAAAGTTTCTTATAACTATCTCTCTGTCTATATATCTATGTGCATCTTCACATAATATTACAGTAGTTATTCATCATGTACATTTTTCAATTAAAGAGCACATGATGCATTTTTTGAGTAAAGGACCTGAAATTATAAAAATTTAGGGTAACAACAGAACTGTTCCTTTTTGAAAGCAATCCTATTAAATTAAATTATGATACAAAGCTGAGAGAACCGTCTCACAAATAGCTTTTGATGAGGTTATCACTATCTAGAACTATGGTCCAATTCACAAGTCAGATACTACAGTATCACTCAGAGACTACTGGGTGATAATGACTGACAAATGTTAGAATGACAGTGATTCTCACTAATTCACATTTCCATTTTCTATGATACCTTTGAAGAGTTTTTCAATATGTTTTCAAAAAATTCTGGTCTACCTATTGGTCATTTAAGTGAAACATACCTGTATTTTCACATTTCTCTCTACTAATGCAAATAACTGTGTTAAAAATGTGAAAATATTCAAATGACTAATTTTTTAAAAAGCTTTAGTGAAAGGAGATGCCTCCAGATCACGGCAAACATGCATAAATTGTTAACATTTGCTGACAGATAAAGATCTGTCTAGTTTCCTAAGAGTAATGCATTTAACCATTCATATTGTGGTTTTGTTCCTCATTTTTAAATGGTTCTATCTGGGCCTTGGATAACTAGTTTTTGTTCCATTTGGTTCCTTGGCTGCTTCATCAAACTGCCTGAGCAAGGAGTTCCATCGGATTGTTCACGTTTAGACCTACATGTTCTGATCAGACAGGTCACACCAATTTCCCATTTTAGCTAGGAAGGCTAATCACAGCAATTTACTCACTCAACTATTCAGTGGATTTTGTGACATTTTTTAAAACTGCTACTCGTATATTTGGGAGAAGGGGCCTGACAATTGATATAGAGATTGCAAAAATACCCATCTTTGTCATCATACTCAGTATGCAGCTTGTTATATAATTAACAGTCTGACATATACAGGCCCTTTTAAAAATAAAGTTCTGGCAATGTTTCCACTGTTTTCCAAATTTAATGCCCCACAGAAGCACAAGAAGAGGTCAGACTTTTCTGAGTACTTTAATGGCAAACAAATACAGAATATTCCTACCTATCTTCTCTTTGCTCCTGTAAATAGCAAATTTGACAATTACTCCAGACAGCTACAGGGTACTCACAGGAGTACAGTCACTTACATACTGAAGTATTTTTAAGTTGTACCTATTTTTTTCTGTTTTAGAGTTTTAATAGAATGTAAAATCTTAACAAGTAGCTATGCTGGCTAAAATGTAGTTAACCATTAAGAATTAGTCCACCTCAGGGAAATAAATAAGTGAAAGAGGAGAAGAAGATGGCAAGTCCAGAGAGAAACTAGATCTCTGCAAATAATAGAGTGAGCTCTCTTCCAGCTCTGGATATTTTTATAGTAATTCAGGGTTATGAATATATATAAATTATGTTACATTCAAGGTACAAATTGTTTTGGGTATTGACTTCAGGCCAGAATTTAATCTGTACTTTAGAACAATGTTAAAAAGAAAATTTCCAAATACACATATAAGTGGAATACTGTGTGGGGCACTCCTCTGGCCTCCAACCAAAACAGGATTATGTGTGCATTTGGATGAGACAAATGGCTACTGCCAGCACACCAAACTGAATGACTTTTAGGTAGTTTTTGTTGTTTTAACATCTGCCCAGTAGAGCAACACATACCAATGTTACAGCACCATCTTTCATTCACATACCATTGCCTTCCTGTTGAGGGGCCTTTCAAAGAGACCTGGCAGCTGTCCTTCCTCATACTAATTTTTTTTTCCTCTCACACAAATGTATTTTCAGTTCTCATCTAAATAGGCCACCTATTCTGATCTGGTAGCAAATGGATACATAGGTCCTCACTTCTTTCTTGCCTTTCTGCCTCCTACTCACTCTCTTTACAGCCCCATCTTTCTGTCCCCTGGGGGCCACCTTCTCTCCCTCCTGGCTTCTAGGAAAAACATTAGTAACATTTAGAAAGCAATATGACAAATATCAAAGGGGAAGAGTTGGCACTGAAGCCCCATACAGACCTTTTGGTGCCTAGGAATACCTTACCTGGGTTTTCTTCTCCACCTTTAATGGTCCCCTTCAGGCACCATTATCTCCTGCCCACCACCACAGTGGACCTACAGCCCTTTTGCTGGGTGACAGTGGTGCCATGGTCTGCAAGCCATGTGTTTGCTTTCATTTCTAACCATGACAAAGGGGGATGGGTGTGAAGGTAAGTGTTACTTTTGCTCCATTCTTGTCAGAATTTGATCTCTAGAAACCCCAGGGTGATGCTGGCTTCAGTGTCACACTACACAGAATTTTGAAAGGGGAGAGGGATGACAACTCCCCCTTCATCCATACTCTCACCACCCTCTTTCAGTGCCTCTCGATTATTTCTTCCCTCCCACCCCCAGAGTATTAAATATTTTGGCAGCTGGGTACTTTACACCTTTTTAAGTAAAGGGGTATAGTATGTCTGAGGTGCTTGACTTAATGGGATAAAACAGGCCCCTTTTAACCTGAGAAGGCAGGTACCAGCATTTTGGTCCACCTTTAAAATGGTGGACCGTGGACCGTTTAAGCATTGAAAATGTTGTTAAAAATGGTATTCCCAATCTCTTTATATAAAAAAAGAATGGGGTAGTTGAAGGAAAAAAAAAAGAATTGCGTGGACATTGTCTCTCTGATGTGTTTAATGTCTCTTTTGTTTTTCCCTTTGTTTCCTACGTGCATGTTCCATGCAGACTCCCAGGCCTTTAAACATCATTAAGCAGAACAATGGTGAGCAGATCATTAGGAGACGAACAAGAAAGCGCCTTAACCCGGAGGCACTTCAGGCTGAGCAGCTAAACAAACAGCAGAGGGGTAGCAGTGAGGAGCAAGTCAATGGAAGTCCCTTAGAGAGGAGGTCAGAGGATCACTTAACTGAAGGTCATCAGAGAGAAATTCCGCTTCCCAGCCTCAGTAAATACGAGGCCCAAGGTTCATTGACTAAAAGCCATTCTGCTCAGCAGCCAATCTTGGTCAGCCAAACTCTGGATATTCACAAAAGGATGCAACCTTTGCACATTCAGATAAAAAGTCCTCAGGAAAGTACTGGAGACCCAGGAAACAGTTCATCGATATCAGAAGGGAAAGGAAGCTCCGAGAGAGGCAGCCCAATAGAAAAGTATATGAGACCTGCAAAACATCCCAACTATTCACCACCTGGAAGCCCTATTGAGAAATACCAGTACCCACTTTTTGGACTTCCATTTGTACACAATGACTTTCAGAGTGAAGCTGATTGGCTGAGATTCTGGAGTAAATATAAGCTGTCTGTTCCTGGGAATCCACACTACTTGAGTCATGTGCCTGGCCTACCAAATCCTTGCCAAAACTATGTGCCTTATCCCACCTTTAATCTGCCTCCTCATTTTTCAGCTGTTGGATCAGACAATGACATTCCTCTAGATTTGGCGATAAAGCATTCCAGACCTGGGCCAACTGCAAACGGTGCCTCCAAGGAAAAGAGTAAGGCACCACCAAATGTAAAAAATGAAGGTCCCTTGAATGTAGTAAAAACAGAGAAAGTTGATAGAAGTACTCAAGATGAACTTTCTACCAAGTGTGTGCACTGTGGCATTGTCTTTCTGGATGAAGTGATGTATGCTTTGCATATGAGTTGCCATGGTGACAGTGGACCTTTCCAGTGCAGCATATGCCAGCATCTTTGCACGGACAAGTATGACTTCACAACTCACATCCAGAGGGGCCTACACAGGAACAATGCACAAGCTGAAAAGAATGGAAAACCTAAAGAGTAAACCTTAGCACTTAGCACAATTAAACAGAAATAGGTTTCCTTGATGGGAATTCAATAGCTTGTAATGTCTTGTGAAGACCTATAAAGCACTTCATATAGAGAGCATGCCTTATAAAATCCCTCGTTTTTTTCTTTTCTTCTTCCCTTCGTATTTTTTCTCATCTTTTTTTTTTTCCTTTTTTTTTCTTTTTTATTTTTAATGAGTGGGTTACCAAGAAAGAAAAGAACATTTGGATGGTGGCCAGAAGGGGGAAAAGATAATTTTTATGGAATATGGCCCACCAAAGCTAGTCAGAATGCAGTGAATCATGGCGAATAACCTTGAGAAAATTTTACCGGACAGTTAATACCTTTGCTATTGTATAAGAGACATAACTGGCAAGAATGCAAAGATGTGTGTATGTATATACTGCTGCAGGGGTATAGTGAACATATGCACATTGTATATAAGAACTAGACTTGTTAAATATACAGATGTTAAAAGGTCATTTTCTTTTCTTTAATTTGGGCTAATTCTGCCCTACAACATGCCTTAGTATCACTTTGTTCTCAAAGCTTTGGCAGCAGTTTCATCTAGGTGTTTCTAAGACTCAGCTGATTTTTAGCTACCATTTTATCACTACATTCTTTCTGGCACACTTTAGCCTAGGAAAACCATTTTGTTCAAATCAAGTGTCTCTAATACAGAAGCCACACTCCAGGTTTAATTTGCGTAGAACAAGGTAACCTGCTGTATTTTATTTTAATATATTTTTAATATATTACATTTCTAAACCTTAAAGTCTAAGGTTACTTCTCCACAGGCTTAACATTGCTATACATACCAGTCAATCCCTTCAGTAGACTTATACCAGCTTTTGCTAAGTAGCATTAAATGTCTTCATAGTACTTTTTAATACTTAAAGCTTTGTAAAAACTATCCATGAAGGGAAAGCTCCTCAGCATAACTGCTCAGGGAAATAGGGCTAAATAACTAAATATTAAATAATTGGTTTAAGGTGCTGTTAGACGAGCCTCCATGCTTGCTACAAGGGTGTACAAGAACTGACTTTAATCATTTTCATTATAGTGTCCCAACCAGTAGTTTATTATTTTGCCACGGGGATGTAGAAGATATTACAAGCTACTGGATGCACTGTCAGATTAACTTATTTCATTAAAGAAGTTGGGAGAACAAATAGAAAAAAACCTTATTTTTCTAGTAAATATTAATGTATTACATTTCAAATAATGGTGCCTGACATATTGAATAATTATTTTCTACAGTGTACGTATGCAACAAAGATATTCCATCATGCATTAGAGTCAGTTCTGGCTCTGCCTCGCTGTTTACATTTGCAAATGTAGCAAACAAGGTAATGAAGCAACTATTTCTATTGCAGTAGGTATCTTTTTTTCTGTGTGTGTGCATTAAAGTTGTAAACGATAACATGAAATGAATGAAATTTGTTGATATTAATGGTATGGAAAAACAAGAAGGAAATGAAAATATTTTTATGCCTACTTAGGAAAAAAAGGGTAGCACTATTCATTCCAAGTACTTTTGTATTCTTAAGCTCTTAACTCACATTGTTATGCTTAAAATGATAAACATATATCCTCTTTTTATTGCTTTGTCTGTGTTTCAGAAGAAACATTTCAGAAATTATTTTGATAAGTGCTGTTTGACGATGCAGCACTGATGTTTTATTGCATTCTGTAGTAGCATTGCACTCCATTTTTACAATATTACGCAGTTGCTTTTTTGTTTTGTTTGGGTTTGTTTCTTTTTCGCAGTGCAGGGTCTTAGTTCCTTATGGTTGGATGGCAGGTGTAGCTCAACTGGTTCATGAATGTTGCAGCGAATGAAGTTTAAAATGTCTTTCTGATATTATGTTGTCCTTATTTCTCCATTCATGCATTTTATTTTTTAAAATGTTCTATAAAAATATTTCTGGACTAAGTCCTCACTTGAGATTATATGTAAAGGGTCCTATTCTGATCTCACTTACATGCCGCCTTTCTCAGATTTTCATGTAATTGAAACTAAAGTATCATAAAAAAATGTTCTTATGTTTAACTTACCTGAGTCTGACCACTCTCCCTTCTAGAATTTGGTGCACTTACAAGATACTTAACCAGATAGACTGGGAGGTGGAAGATGAAAGGAGAGGTGATAGGAAATGGCTTACAGGGGTTGGCAAAAGTAAAACCAGGGAGGAAATGGCCTGAACATTCAGCACTTTGACAGTTTTTTGAGAAATAATGTGCCTAAAGCAGCCTGCAACCAACATCGCCATGCATGAGAAGCACTTACACAGCTGATCACCAAGGGTCTTGCTGATCCTTGGCAGTATTTTAGGTGTTCCCTTTTTGCACAGATGAAACTTTATTGCACGGTTTCTCTGGTTTGTTAGGCACGAACAGCCTCTAGCTCAGCATTAGGCTTGCAGTCCTTCCTGCTCCACCCATTGCTCTGCTGGTGAGCAGCGTATGGAGAATCCCACTCAATCTGCTCGTGGTTGAGTCCTGTAACCCTTTAATAGTGTTCTAGGTTAGCAATGGATATTGGGCCACATTCTTCTTCTTCTATTTTTAGATGAATCTCCTGCTTGATACCAGTGCCAGACAATGTCTGGTTATGTTTTTACTATTGTTCTCCAATAACAAGTTCTGACTTGGTTTTTGTTGATTTATTTTTGTTGGGTATTTTTTGTTTTTTGTTTTTTCTGTGGGGACTGAAATAGATTGCCCTCATTTTGTTATGTCAGGGTCCAGTCTGTGCCCTTTTCAGCTTTTCCAAGGAACATGTTAGGCTCACTTAGCAGTGATTTTATTGGCTTCAGAGGTAGCTGCCTGCCAGTTTTCAGTAGTTTTAACTTAGTTCTTCCAAGACCTACCAGCTCCTGTAGCTTCTTCTTTTGCGGAAGCTGCATCTTCATGGCAAAATAGTTTGTAGGGGACATGCACATTATAAGACTTCAGCACCACCCTGTACTTCATAACACTTCTTGCTAAACTCAGAAGCAGAGGCCAATAAGGGGAAATACACATATCAGGGTTTGGGGATGAGGAGAAATGAAAATTGAAGAGTGAAAATAGCAAGACAGAGTTCAGAATTAATATTGCACCTAGATGGTACAATTAAAATTCAGAATTCAAAAAGAAAAAGTTAATTGTTCTTGCCATGACATTGAGATGTTATAAAGCTTCTACTCAGTAAGATATGGGACTTTACCCCAGCCTGTTCTCTTTGATCACACTTTTTTTTTTCTGGGTGGATGGGGGAGAGAAAGGACATTGATTTATTCTTCTCAAAAGAGGAGTGACTCCAACCCTCTTCCTAACCCCTTCAGAATAGTTATTAATCAAAAGAAAAATAATTCCTGAAGTTGAAAATAAAAATTCTTATCTTATAGTTGTCAGGTGAAAATCAGTGTTAAAATGCACCATTAATTACTGTACCCACTGCATTTTGATCAACCTGCAGCACTAAAATCAAACTTTCAGAAGAATCATTCTTTGTCTTCAGTTTCCAAACATCTTCATGGTGTTGAACTTCTCTTTATAATGAATGGTAGCTGGAGAGCTGAAAATGTATCTCAAATTGGACTGCCACAAGGTATAGACTGAAGACACAGGCTCTGCTGCATTGGTCATTATCCAGTTGTGGAATAGTAACAAAGTTGACTTTGTTTCCATAAGGACTAACATGGTGTAGCCGGAACTGGGATGCAGCATCTTCTGCTGATCAAGGTCTGCGTCAGCTCTCAGCTCTCACTTACTAACTGCTGCACCCTGGATTAATGCAGTGGAAGGTGAAACTTTTCCAGAGCACAGTTAGCGGTTAGGTGCCAAACCCCAGCTGCCTTCCAAAAGACGTTTTGCACCTAATTGTCACTTGTATTGATGAAACTCTCCTCTTGAATTTTCATAGACCGAGCAGAATGCACGAGAGATGCTGGATATATTGTGTCTTGCTGGAAACGTGTCTTTTCTTAAGGGGGAGAGTGTCTAAAAATGATACTGCACAATGTGCCCATTTTAAGAGAGGAAATACAAAAAGGTGAGCACACTGTGGGCCAGACAGTTTGGATTTGGTAGGGTGGCAGGACAAATGTGACCCATGCTGACACGAACACAGTGCTGAAACACAGTGGTTGTGCACTGTGGAGACCTGACGTGGCAACAGCCTCATTCAGGGGCTGTCAAGTCTGTGTTTGGACAGGAAAAGGTTGCTCTCTGGTCATAATTACCTTGTGTTTTGTGCAGAGGATACTGTCTGCCATCTGCTTTTTGCCCAGCATGTATAAATGTATTCCCATTCTTGCTCCTGTATTGATTTTTCTTGGCTGGCTTAACATGCTAATTCCTACTACTGGTCAGGAAAAGCCAAAGAGATTAGGAGTTCACTTCTGTTCAGCCAGAGGGGCAGATACATTTCCCTCTGCTTCTGTGGAGACGGTTATGCTTGGCAAAGGACAGTGAGCAATTTGTCGACCTATCCAAACTGTGATAGAGAAGTGAGAAATCCTTCAGAAACTTTTCCATGAAGTTCGGCTGGGCCAAGGAGAAAGATTTGCATAATTTCCTCACTTCAGAGTAGGGTCACTCCCTACCCTCTCGCTCACAGTATCACTTGTTCAGCTGGCTCTGAAAAGCTTGCAGTTGGTGAGATGCTACCTGTATAATAATCACAAAGATCCTGGTTTGCTGAGAGGACGAAAGAAAATGATGTCATGCCCCCAGCCAAGTAAAGCAAGTTGCTTTACAAAGTGCACCCAAGCAAAACCAGTACACTTTGCTTTGGGTACACTTTGTAAAGCAACTTGCTTCAAATAAGCATTGTAGCAGCAACCATAGTTTTCCATGCTGTGTCCTATAATTTTGGTCTCTGAACTCTATGTAGAAGGAGAACAGGAGAAAAAGAAACATCTCAAAATGACATTGTATTATTAATAATTCACCAGCAGGAAAAGGAAAAAAATACTTTATAAAAATGACTTCATGTTGCTAAAAACATCTTTAGACTTGTAGCCCTGATTTGACTCTAGAATGTTGGCTCGTATTGTTTTGTCCTTACAACACATGGATGTGTTTTTTGTTCTGTTTTGTTTCGGGTTTTTTTTTGTTTTGTTTTGTTTTTTGGTT